AGTCTTCCACAGAGATTGCCCTCTAGGGCAGCTCTGCGGGCAGGGAGGGATTCACATTGCTGTATTTAGGGGAACTGACTGTCTCTGATTTTCAACTCAGTCCTCCTGTGGGTTTGCCATTGCCTACAGACTTCAACTATGACTCCCCAACTCTGGGCATCCCCCACTTTGGGATTTCAGGTTGGGAATCCCCCTAACCTGAAATCCCTCCCATTTATTGTTTACTCATCACAGTTGGCCCAAGGAACCCTGCTAGAAATTAGGGAATCAAAAGGCTGAATGATGTCCCTATGGTTTGGGTACCCTCCGAACGCTGCCTCTATTCATCAAGATGCTGGAGTTCCCTGCCAGGGCAGAAAAGGGGGGAGGTCCTTTCAAGGGGTCAAGGGGTTTCAAATTAAACTTCTGGAAATAAACATTTTGTATGGGATGCGCCATCAGTTGCCTGACAAACATTTATGGGGTACCCACTCTGCCTGTGAGCTCAGTTTGATGGAGAGATAGCAAGAGATGGTTCCCGAAAAGGCTCCGGGTGCTGTGGGGACACCAAGGAGAGGCGGCTCTTCCAGTCTGGGGTGGAGGAGTCAGGTAACGCTCTCTGGAGGAAGCAGAGCTCCACCTTGTTCCTCTAACCACGTAAGGCTGGGTTGCATTTCCCAGGCATTCAAGGGAAAATAAGTTTTCATTTCTCAAGCTTGCTCTGTTTCAGTTTTACCGGCTACCATGGCTCAATAAAATAGTCAAAGATGGGAAGCTGCCCGCCTCCCTCAGACTACCCAGGTGTGGAAACTGATTAAAAGCAACGAGCAGCTCAGTTAAACCGTGGTCCTTCACTGGATGATCTCCGTGGCAACCCATCCCACAATCTCCTGCTCAAGGAGTCCTGCAACTAGGAGAGTTCTCATCACTGCTAGAGATGCAGCCCTTTTATTTCTCAGCTGCAACATTTGTTAGGACTTGTCTCCGCTGATAACTGAATACTTCAGGAAAGTTCACTATTTTCTGCCCAGAGATCCTTAGATAGCAGTAATTTTGATATACTGCCTATTGCTAAGGAAACTTTAGAGAGGCCTTCCTTGATTGGCATTTAGACCCAGTCACATTATCCCATTACCTTGGCTTTTTAAAAAAAATAAAACTTGCCATGACCTGTTTGGCTCAGCAGTTAGAGCGTTGGCCTGCGGTCCAGAGAGACCCGGGTTTGATTTCCGCTAAGGGCACGTGCCTCGGTTGCAGTTTGTCCCTGGCCCCAGTTGGGGTCATGTGGGTGGCAACCACTCGATGTGTCTCTCTCACGTCGATGTTTCTCTCTCTCTTCCTCCCTCTTTCCCTCCCGCTCTGTCTGAAGATGAATGCAAAAATGTCCTCTGGTGAGGATAAAAATAAATAAATAAATATATAAAACTTACTGATAAGAGGCTATCCCTATTTGTTTATTTTCTTCTTGTCCCCTCCACAAGGCTGTAAGCTTCATGAAAGGAGGACCCTCCTCCTTTCACCACTTAATCCACAGCACTTTTAACAGTGGTGGGCACAGGGTCAGGGCTCATCAAATGCCTGCGCAAACTGCTAGTACTTACTGAGCATTTTCTGAGCTAAAATCTTTAAATCTATGATCTCACCTAATCCTCATACAAACCTTGAGTTAGGTGCTGCCATGACCTCCCATTTTACAGATAACAAAATTGAGGCTTAGAATGGTTAGGAAATTTGCCCTAGGTCACTTATACAAATGGCAGAGGTGAGCTTCAAACCTTCACTGCGACGCCAAAGTCTGCGCTCTGTACCACCATGACGAAGCGCCCCTCGTGTACATCCTGGTTACTGTTTTGGAGTAAGAATAGTCTCACCAAAATCCTATCATGTAACCTGGAGTCTCAGAATTGAAGAGAACTTACTCAAATGCTATGGAAACTCATAAACGCTTAGTAAGAAAAATGGCCAAGAAAAAACCCAGAAGTGATGTCCAGCATCAAACTCGCATACAGGGATGAGAGAGAATGAGAGAGTTTTCCATTTTCTGCCAGTTCCGTGTTTATAATACTACTCTATTAAAGTGGTTTCTCCACCTCCCACAAGAAAGCCACAAAGATATCATCACTTAATGACACTGTCCTGGGAACAGGGACATCGATACCAAACGAGCAAGTGATATATAACTCCTGCTGCCCTATGAGATCATGTGTTATAAACACTACAGAACTTTTATTATCCATCTTGGGCTGAGCAAAACCATATTTGCCCAGCACTCTGAGTAATGGACAGGAATAGATGGATTAGGGCCTTTAAATTCCTGGTTGGAACACATTAAAAGTTTAAGAGCCCTATATAGCTGAGTCAAATGCATGTGCCCATGCTATATAATTAGCAGGCACAACAACAATAAATATATAATTTAAAGGAAAGACCAGCAGGACTAGAATATGCACCAGCACTCTCCCTCCCATGGTAGCCATTCTCCACTTAGTCTTCAGCTGTGTAAATGGTAACCTTGCTGGCTTTGGGCTTATTTTAGTATAACAAAGATTTGGATCTCCGTTTTCTTTCCTAAGCAGTTTATGCTTCTCTCTGAAGTCAGCTTTCAGGCATAAGCAATTCATTGCTCCGCTACTAAACATTCATTTCACTTTGTCTATAAAGACTTAATAAATCAGCCTAGTTACTCTTTACGGAGGCCATCCCCAGGTTTTCATGTATAAAAAATGAGCGTCCATTTTACTAAGTGGAAGTGAACAGTCACCTCGCCTTCAAGGGAGTTCCCTGGGGTCCAGGGAGCTCACAGCAGGCAGGAGAGGCTTTCTCTGAACATCCGGGGGCTTTGCTGTCTGTCACAGAGTCCTGCTGTCTTAACTATTATGGCTTAAGAAGGATTGCTTGGGGTGGGTGAGAGGGTTAGGGAAGAGGTCAAATTATAGAGTCAAAAACCCATGTAAAGAAAATCACAAGGAGCGATGACCCCAGACAAGAAACGGTCCTTTAGTGGGAGACACCTCTGTTCTAGCCATTTCTGGCCACTCTGCATTTTCAAGGGCCCCTATAGAGGCAGCTGCTCTTCCTACCTCAATTTGCAGTTAGAAAAACTGAGATGTTCCTCAACCTGCATGGGACCACCTCTACTAAAGGCATGTTGTTGTTTAGTTTTGTTTGTTTGGCACCTATCAGTCCCCCTTTATTCTGGGGTGATTTATAGGGTTAGGGCCTCAGTCTTTCGTCCTAGGAGTCTTCACTTTTTTTTTTACCTTATTCTGGGCCTCCCCTCAGCCCAAAGATCAGAACTCTTCCCTTCAGCTATGACAGCTGATGGAAATCCCCCTGCCCTCCACTTCCTCTCCTGGACCTGTGTTCTTGGTGTTGATGCCACAAACCTGGAGGGCAAAGCACAATTATCAGCTGTGACATCATCAACTGAGATTCTGGACTGACCTCAACTCTGACCTAAGAGGAGGAAAATTAAAAGGCAAATGCTCTTCCATTACAGGCATCTCCCTTGGCTGTGCCAGAACCCAAAACAAAACCAGTGAAAGTAAAAGTCAACCATGCTAATACATACAGACTGTCTTTCAAATGAGGCCTAAGAAATTAATGATCTCCTTGGAATTGGAACTAATAAAAACAAAGCTGTTTCCTTTTCTCCAGTGGCTAAAAGCTTAAACTCTAGATCCTGCCTGGTTCAAATTCCAGCCCTGTTGCTTAATATCTGTGTAATCTTGGGCAAATTACTTACCTGATGGGTACCTTAGTTTCCCCATCTAGATAATGGGGATAATACTATAGGTACCTACCTACCAGGGTTGCTAGAATTACCTGAGTTAACATATAAAGTGCTAAGAACAGAGACTGAAACATTAAGTACTAATTAAAAATTTTAGCTATTATGATCATGTTAAACTATGTTTAAATTGGACTCCCTTTAAACCTTTCCAGTTTAACTGGCCTCTTCCAGTGGCTCATTTGCCACTGAAAGCTGCCCCCCAAATGGCCTTCCAATCAGATTGCCAGGATGTCTAGCCATAGTACCATTCTAAATAATTTATGGCTTGCTGACTCCTGAAATTGGAGTCTGATAGGCAGTTCTGCTGTTGAACTGTCACACCCTAACCTTTCTAGAGAGAAGGTCAAGTGCTTCCCTCTCACCCTTTGCAGGAAACCATGACATCATCCTTCAGAGAAATTCAACTACCCAATGATTGGTTCTTTCCCAGACTTGACACCATCCCCCCCATACCTTTTCTACATAACATGGTTTAATGGGTTATGGTTTCTGTCAGAAAAGCCCATAAGGTTGTCCACTTGCTACAACACAGGGCTTTAATCAGTTGCTAACTTGGTTGGTGACAATTTAGAAAGTCAGGCCCTGGGAGCCAGTATATGGTTCCCTTTCAGGAAGAGGATTCAGGAATCACCAGGTTCCACCACCCTGGGCACAAAGAGTTAAGAATCCACCACTATTTATCCATCTTCCAGGATCTCCTTCAACCCAACAAAGCCCAAGAAGGCAGCACCAATCCTGGGCTTCCTGCTCCCTTCCTCCCATCCCACTTATCCAAGGCTCAGGTTTTAAAAGTTTGGCGCCCCCGGCTGCTGCTATTCGGCTGGAGAGACCCAGGGGACAGAACCACAGTCAGTGCGCCCAGCTGTCGGGAAAAACGCCAACTATAGGTCCATTCAAGCAAGGCAAAGAGCGCAGGGCAGTAGGCTTCACTTCAAGAGAGATTCAGATATGGCTTGGTCAAGAGGCTCAATCAGTGAACAGCACCCAGAATGTGACAAGACGCGCAGAGCAGGGTGGAGATCAACCACGATTTTACCCTCCAAAAGTCTGTTGCCAGAAGAACAATCTAGGGCAAGAGCTCTTTAATGAACTCCTCCATCCACAGATCAAACGCTTTCTGCCAGATCCTGGCCCACCCACCAGCTTCCTCCCAAAAAATTCACCTCTGGGTAGGCCAGGGCGGGATTTCTCTCCCACCCTGTTCATCGGTGGGTACCCGCGCTCTTACCATTGGCGTTCTTGCCGCAGATGAGATGCTCGTAGGGCTGTAGGACGCCCCAGAGCTCCGCGTCGTTGTTGATGACCATCTCCAGGGCTTCGGCGGACACCTCCCCGCCTGCGGCTCCCCCGCCGTCGGGGCTGTGGCTGGCTAGCACCCTGGCCCGGATCTCCTCCACCAGGTTCTCCATGCACGCTGTGAGTGAGATAGCCGCGTACTCGTGGATGCGCACGGAGATGCGGGTGTCCACCATCCAACGGAAAAAGCGGCCCACGGAGAAGGTGAGGCCGCAGCGCGCCGATTTGCCCCGGCGTAACCCGTCGCCGGCACTCATGCTGTACAGGGACAGCGCCTTGACCGCGGCCAGCGCACAGCTCTCGGCCAGCGCCCAGCTGTGCACCAGGCGCACGGCGCTCTGCACCTCGAAGCGGGTGCACTTGGAGTGCAACACGCTCAGGCGCTGCGCCTCGCGGGCCACCCGGATGAGCGCCCTTCGGAGAAGCCCGGCCAGGCGCCTCACCGCCTCCGCGGAGAACAGGGGCGGCCGCCGGCCGCCGGCGCCTTTGCGAAGCACCCGGGCCACGTCTCCCTCGGTCCAAGGGAACTCCTCCAGCTCGGGGAGGCGCGGACAGCGCGAGAAAAGGTCGGCCACTTCGGGGTCCTCGGGCAGCACCGTGTTCACCGTGTCCCAGCTGTTGTGACGGCTGTTCATGGAGCCGGAGTAGCACCACCAGGCCGCCCCGCGGTGCTGCTGCGCGGAAGAGTTGAGCGCCTGCGAGTTGGACTTGGAGGACGAGAGGCTGAGCGAGCGGCACGAGTCCCCGGCCCCATACCCGGAGTCCAAGGTCAAGTCCTCCAGGGTCTTCAGAGTGGAGCTGTACGTCCCGGCCATGAGGAGCTTGCCGGGGGCGGCCTCGTCGAGCGAGGGGCGCTCACAACTCCATGCTCTCTTCTCCAAGTGGGCAGAAACAAGCTCTAGGCTCTCCGGGGCGCCCTCCTTCTTCTCGATGCTGCGGGACTCGGCCGCTGCATTGCCCGCCCGGCGGCCGCGGGAAGGTGGGCGAGATTCGCCGGGGCCGGCGCCCCACGCGCCTGGCGTCCGGACGCAAAGCTGTCACTGGAATGGTCCCCCACTGCTGCTCCTCAGCACTCCCCCTTGTCCACTTCGACTTCCCTCAAGCAGAGCGTCTGTCCTCGCAGACAAGGAATCCCGAGAGAAAAGGGCGGCGGCGGCGGAGGCGGCAGAAGGAGGCGGCTCCCGGTGCAGCGCGAGTCCCGGACCAGCCGGCGAGAAAGCGCAGGGCAAACTTCTGCCGGGCGAGGGCCGCCTGCACAGCTGGGTACCTCGCAGCCGTCGACATGCAAATAACCCGGGGCGGCTCACCAATCATCGGCCGCGATGGGCAGAGGCTAAACCAATGATCTCCTAGAGGGGCGGCCACTATGTAGATTTCACTCCGCAGCAGGCGAAAATCCCTGGCCCGGGAGGCGGGGCTGGAGGCCAAGAGTCGGGTGCAGCGGCTGGGATCGTGGTGGAGGAGGGGGAAGAGAGAAAGAGAGCGGGAGGGCTTGCGGGAGGTGGGAGGAGAGATCGGGAAAAGGCGTCCTAACGTTAGTCTCTGGGGCTGAAGATGTAAAGAAAACTGTAAAGGAAAAGCCTCTGTGCACTGCCCTCTTCCCGCCATCCAGGGCCGTTCGCAGCTCTCTTTCAAGTCCTTTGCAGCGGAACACCAGCTCCAGCGTTTGGAGTGTGGGTACTGGGTGGGGTTAGGGGACAGGAGATTGGGGGAGGGGGCCCAACTCAAGCGCTCCACTTCTCGCCTAGACTTTCTGCCAAGCCCCCTTCCGTTTTCTGAGACAAAACTCCAGTTGCATTTTGAAGGACGCCCCTGCTTTCTCCTCCTCCCAAACCCGTCAGGTTCTTTGCTATCCAGGCTCTAACCAAAACAGATTTTCTTCTTACCCTGGAACCTGATCAATGGGGCTGCAGGAGGTCTGTGATCCACTCACCCCCACTTCAAATTACACACTCAGTTTTCCGAGTACTGCTCTGGGAAGAGGGTCCTAACTTCCCAAATTCTCAAAAAAGAGTCCTTGACTTCTGTTTCATCTATCTGTCCAATGGTGCTTGCAGTCAGGTGCCAATGTCAAGTGTGTGTGTGTGTGTGTGTGTGTGTGTGTTGGGGGGGGTGTTATTACAGTAAGAATGCAAAGGTGAGAAATGTCCCTAACACTGACCTGAGTTCGAACACCTGGCTGAATACACCACTTCCTAACGGTGTGCCCGTGGGCGAGCCATATGCCCCCTCAGGACTTGATTTCCTCCGGGGAACAATGCATGTTGACTTCCAAGCATCGCTGTTGTAAACCTGTTTCAGGGCGATTGTGTGCAGAGATGGTCAGCCTCTATTTGTTCTAGCAGATTTGCGCCCAGTCCACTCGTTCCTGCTGCTGTTCTGTAACTATTCACATCCACGTGCATGAACGTGCGTGTGCCCCATCCGTGGAACCACAAAACGAAGGAGATTGTGCACGGGTTTTCCCCAAGTCAGCCTTCGCTCTCCTGAATGGCTTCTTTGTGCTGTACCTTACACAGTTCTGACCTTGGGCCGTGAATTGGATACGAACTAGAAATGTCTGGTTTGTCTCCTTCCTTCTTAAATTAATGGACCTTTCCCTGCGAAACTCCCTTTTCTTTGGCAATTCTGGCTTCGTTTTTTCCTTTCTGCGGGTTTTTATTTATGCAATATTGCCGCCTCGTGGTTAAAAGTGGGAACCGAGTCAAAGACGGACACAATATGAAAGCTAAATTCGTAGAGACCAAATTAACAGAGGACGCAAGATACGACTATATCTTATAGAATTGCGATAAGAAGTCAAAGTAAGTAATGAGGTTCAACTTGTCAAAAGTGTGGAAACAAATTTGATGCAATTTAGAACGTATTAGGGAAAATATAATAGTAAGGCAAATGTCGCCCTCTAATGGATATTTAGAGGAAATAAATTCCTCCAAGCTTTTTTTTTTCCTTCCTTTTTTTTTTTTTTTTTTTTGTGGTGCTGCCCCTTGAAAATAACAAAAATTGCTTAACTAGAAATTTACAATAGGGAATTACTGAATGGAAAGGTTATCTGAGAAACTACCTAGAGATTTCTTCGAGGAAAGTAGCAGATGTGATTTATCTTAATATATTCAAGTGTAATGATAATCAAACATGCCAACAGCCAAACTTCAGAATCCTGTGGATGTTAAACTACACCACAAGGATTTGTTCAGAAAAGTTCAGCTGTGGGAAATGCTACTGGACAAACAACTGAGTTTCATTAATAAATTGCAAGGAAGGAAAGAGATAGAGAGGAAACCCCTACACTTAAGAGAGACTTAAAAGACATATCAACCAATTACAACATTTTTTTTAATAAAAAAAATCAATAAACATTTGACCTCATGAAACAATTGGACATAGGGAACACTGCCTGGTATTTGCTGTTACAAAATCATTGTTGCTTTTTTGATGTGGTAATGGTAGTGAGGTTATGTTTATTAAGTGTTCTTATCTTTGAACATCCTGAAATGTGTTTTGTAATTTTTCTCCATTAAAAAGGGAGGAAAAAAATCCGTTTGAAAAAAATTTGATAAATGGGCTAGAATGTTATGAAAGATGATTAAGACTATAAATCTCTTGTCTTTCACATATTCCCCAAAGTCATCTATAGTCCACTTGAGGACTGGAGGTATAAAGTAAACCCAGAGTGTGTCTGTGTTTGTGTGTTATGTAATGAGGAGAAAGAAAAGGAAGAGAGAGAGAGAGTGGTAGTCGACAAGATACACTGAGTCATCTTAAAAATGAACCAACTGATTGATTTCACTTAATCTTTTGGGAAGTTGCAAGTGGGTGAAGTAATAAAACTTTGGATCAAGAAAAAAAAGAACATGGCTCCTTATACATACGTGTGTGTTTAATCTTAAGAATGCAAATTATATTAAACGACAAGGAAGTGTCATCCCAATTCAGGCCTGGCCCAAACATAATCTTTGAAGAAAAACAACTGTCACGTAGCTGGAAAAGTTAAAAAGGACATGATGAAACCATAGCAAATATTGGGAGAATTCCCAGAGGGATGAGAGATTAAATAACAGATCTGGGATCGCCCATGCAAAAATTATATAAGGGACAATGCTTGGAATAAGATTTAGAAATGTTACCTTGGGCAAAGTCTCATTTCTGTTTCTGGAGATTAGGGAACAACATATCCTAGAATTTATCTTAAAAGTGAAGGGGTTATAATGCCAATTATTTAAGTACAGACAGAACACTGTTATTAGAAAGGTAGATTATAACCTTGACTTTGGAGAGTGGTCAAGTTTTAATTTACTTAGTGGATCATTTTTGGTGCATTCTCTCAACAACTTACATTGAACACCTACTGGGTCTGGAACTGCTGGGTGCATTAGACAAGCTCCCTGCCACAGAAATTGCATGGCCAACATGTAGAGACAGGCACACAAGACCAGCTATTTTGCAAAATATGCTTTGCAGAGCTGCTCAGAAACCACAGACCAAGGGCCGTTGCCAGTTCTTTGATTTGCCACACAAGTTGATGAACCTAGAGAAAGAATAGTACAAACATAATGAATGCATAAATAATTAGAGCAACAAGTTGATATTCCCCCCCCCCAAAGCATTTAATAAATAAAATAAAGTTTTTTAAAAGAAGAATGGTACAAACACAAGAAAGGAACTATTCTGTGAAGTGCAAAGAGAGCTGACAAAGGTGCTGGTAGGTAAACAAGCTTGCCATGATTGGCAGAACACTCAGTTGTTGAAAAAGGAACTGATGGTGTAAAAACCATGACATCATCTTTTTATTCCATGCAACCCAGGTTAGCCCATTGCTGACACAGGTATTGTTTTCTGCACCTCACCACTAAGTAGGCATATAGATCATTTGAAACAGAGAACTCTGGAATGACTAAGGGAAAAAAATTACACTTCGCCAGAGCTGTTCTACAGAATAGTCTCATGAGATGATTCATGAAGAAAAGATTTGATCAAGTTTGTGAAATTTTGCATTCTGTTTCTCCCTGTGGTATATTCATGACGCACAACATTTTATTTAAGACTCTTATTTTTTTTTTTAGACCCAGTATATTCCAGGCTAAACTGGACAGAGAATTCTCCCCATCCCTACATAGCTTCTATAAAGTAATTGGGACTTTTTATTGAACTTGAAGCAGAAAAGACAACGGCCATCTTTTATATGTCTGCTCAGTCAGTGGTGGTAGGTCAGGACCCTGGGAAGAAATCCAGATAAATCCCAGATCAGGGCAAGGTTCACCATCTGACACCTTCATAAAGCAGGAATCAGGGTGCAGATGGGTGGTGTCCGGTGTCTCTAAGTGGGAGAGAGAGAGAGTTGGCATCACAGATTTATTAGTTGGTATTATAGACGAACAGGTCAAGGGCAAGAGTTTTAAGGGATGGACTGGAACTTCAAAGCACAGAGCTGAATTAAAACAGGACAGGAAACCCAGGGACTATTGCTAACTCCCCATGTTTGGATGTTCTGTACTCCAATTATCAATTAGCTGCAACTGTGCTCCTCTATCCTAGCATAGAGAATTTCTAGAGTTAAGTATGACATTCAACTCTGCAATATTTACCAAACATTCATCTTTTACGACTCACCTAACATTCTTATCGCACATCTAAAGGGCCAGCCTCTTTTCTTGGAGGTCCTGATTCAGGAAGCCTGGGGTGTGATCCAAGTAAACGTATTTTAAACAAGTATTCTCACATGATTCTTATCAAGCAAGTTTGGGAACTAAAGCATTTGCCTCTTAAACCTGAAAGTGCCTTAGGACTGGTTTAAAAATACTGATTCTCGACCCCACTTGCAGAGATCCTAATTCAATAGGACTAGAGCCTAGGAATCTTCCTTTTTAACCAGCGAGTGTCAGGTGACTCAAATGCAGGAAGTCCAGGAAACTGGCGCCACAATTTCCCAGTCCAGGAAGTTGCGGTGTTCCCAGCAGGTGGCGCTCTTGTTCATTTTGCTAAAAACTTGCACCAAAAAAGTCTATTTCTTTACTCAGGAGCTTGATTTTTAGAAAAGTATTAAATCTCCCAAGTGGATAGATCTAGGACCAAATAGCTATGACTGTTGATGAATTCCTTCTCATTTTGAAGATGTCTCTGTCTGTCCTTAGGCAAGGATGCGCAGTACTGGGAATGATTGTAGACAGC